TCCTCTATCTGGTCCTTCAGTTGGATACACTCCTCAGTGTTGTGTCCCGATGATTCGTGGAACTCGCACCACTGATTTTTATTTTTTCGCTGATACCACTCTGGGAGTGGTCTCGGCTTTCGGTAACTCTGCTCCTCCTTCGTCACGCTGTAAATTTTGGCGCGTGGAAGAGAGAGCGGAGTGTAGGACTCGTATCTGCCTGTGTATGAGGCAGATTTTTCCTTCTTTGGGTCGCTGGCCGAAGATTGCTCCGAGGCCTTTGACTTTCCCTTCGCCTTATGGCCTTGGCCTTCAGACAAGGGTATTTGTCTTTGTTTCCCTCCCCCGAATTGAGGTTGGGTTTTCACTTTGTTCCATTCTTCGGCTCGGATGAACTTATCCGAGGCATTCAGAGCTTCCTCCAAGGTCTGCGGAGTATGCATGACCATGAAGTCTAGGAACTTCCCGGGCTGAAGGCCATTCTGCATTGCAAAAACGGCTAGCCCCTGGTCCAGCTGAGAGACGCTGGATGACTCGTTACTGAAACGGGTCAGATAGTCTCGGAGGCTTTCGGTTTCCCCCTGTTGCAGACTCATGAGTTCTGCAGTAGTCTTCTCTCGGCGGTTTGCCGTGGAAAACTTGCTCCTAAATTTGGAGGACAGATCATCCCACCCTGTTATGGAGACTTGCTTTACTCCCTTGGAGATCCATGCTTGCGCGACCCCCTTGAGAGTGGTTGGGAAATATTTGCACCAAGTCGCTTCGGATCTGGGGCAAAGATGCATATGAGTCTCATACGAGGCCACGTGGTCCTTCGGATCCGAGGTCCCGTCATATGTGATGTGCGACGGTATTTTAACCGTGGGCACGTGCTATTCCAGTATCCATTGCTCGAATGGCGAACTGGCGGGTAGCATAACGGCCTTACCCTTGTTCTTGGCCGAAGGGACCGCGCTCCGCCCTCTTAGAGAGGTAGGAGTGTTTTTCGTCCCTGGCTGGGAAGTCTGGGCCTCGGCTGCAGGGAACGAGAGGCGACTGCGCACGCTCGGTTCCTTGCCGCCGAGTCGGTCGAGGACGCTTCGGCGAACAGTCTCAGGTTCTCGGTGAGTAGATTCTGGCCGAGAAGCTGAGCTGCTGCTCTTATGCGTTTCTGGTCAGGAGGATGAGGATCCTTTTAAAAATTGAGGGTTCTTTTTCCTCTCTTTTTCATTTTTCCAGGTATCCTCTTCCCACTCTTCCAGTTCCCGGAAGGAAGGAAGCTTCCCACCATCATGGTCTAGCTTCCTCCGCTGATGCCGGGTATGCGGAGGAGTTCGATCACGAGGTGGTGGCATATTTTGTGCCCTCATCGCCTCCATGAGCAATGCCAGCGCTCTTGCCACCTCTTCCGAGCTGGGCCCCGTCAAAGGGGTCCTCGGCCGAGTATGGGAATGAGGGCGCACAGTCGATGGTTGGCTTTGGGGCACTGAATGTGTCCTATGATCGGACTCACCCCTGCTAGACCGAGAGTGACTCGGCCTATGATGAGAGTCATGAATTACGGGAGAAAGGGAATCCTCCTTGTATGATCCTCCCCCGAGCTGGCACCCTTGGGAGAGTTCCGGTCCGGCGAGGGTGATGGTGTAGGGGTTTTAGGCTTTTCGCCCGCTCCTTGACGGAGGCCTTTGCTCTTGCGGTTCTTAGCCATTGCTACTAAGATAATTGCAAGATGATCTTGGTCAGAAATTTGGCTTATAGATTTTTGAAAGTCTTCCCCACAGACGGCGCCAAATTGTTTCGGGTGAAAACAATGGGACCTTGCCGAAGGTCCGATGAAACGGAGAAGACTAGATTCGGTCCAAGTAATGTTGGGCCGAAGGTTTCCTGCACAGTAAACACACGTAAACTAGCCTCGGGGGTGTTGCCGAGGAAGGCCCCTCCGATGCTAAAGTCAGTACAATGTGTTGAAAGAGAAGACTATGCAAGAGAATTAGTTACTTGAGGCTTTGCTTGAATTAATGAGAATATCTGTAAAAATGTAATATTGATGGCTTTTATACCTCTTCATACATGGAGAAGTTGGGCCTTAGCCCAATTGGCTTGCCTTGAGGGCTGATCTTTGACTTTAGCGCAATTGGAGAGATGAACCTTGACCTTGAGCTTTTAATTGGATCATTTAATGCCTAGGCCCAATTGGACTAAATTGGACCCAAACAGGTATAATGAATCAAGAATGATATGTATGATAATATAAAGCAGATTTTTATTTCCTCTATAACAGTTGATTGAGAATCTCTTCGGTTGATGGTAATTCAAGGATCCTTAAAAATAAATAGAAGTTAAAAATATTAAAAGAATAAGGAAAAAAAAAATAAAAAATTCTTCGTCGTTACTAATAATTAATTGAGAATGAAAAATGAAAGTGTTTAAATGAAAATTTTGGTTTACAATTCTCACCAAGAAAAAAAAAAATGGTTCTAACAAGAAAATACAGTATACTATGGTATGATAAAATAAAAAAAATAAGTTGAATGGAATTCCAAAGGTTATATAGTTATTACTTTTAAGACTTACTGGAGAATATGAATTGGAAGGAGGAAAAAGTAATCAAACTCTGTGCATTGATTCTTAGGGTAGTTAATACTTAAGGGCCGTTTGGTTTGCACGGGGTAAACGGAATGTAATGAACAAAGGGAATGGAAAAGAATGGAATGAAAATGCCTTATATTCTTTATGTTGTTTGTTTTAAAAACAAAGGGAAACAATCCCACCACCACACCACCACCACACAACCACCAACTAATTCACTTTCCACCTTAAAAACATCCTCAGCCCCTCGCCGGCAGCCGCACATCCCCTCTTACAGCACCGCCCATGACCTTTCCTCTCCCTCCTCTGACCGAGCACTCTCCTCCCACCGACCACCGCAACCACAATCCTCCTCTCTTTCTCCTCCTTCCACGCAACTGCAACCTCCCTCTCTTCCGCCAGATCGAACCCAAGCCCACGACCCAAACCACCAGCGAAAATCAATGGCGAAAATCAGGACAAAATCAATCGATTTCAGCGACGAAAATCACAGGCGGTGCTTCAAGACGAAGGCCATGGTTCTAAAAACCAACCGGTTTCGAAGGTGGGGAAGGGTCGATTAGGGTTTTTGATGGTGGGTATTGGGCGGCTGGGGATTTCGTGGGTGAGGGAATGATTTTCGAGGGATGAAGGAGGTGCGACAACCTCCGGCAAGGGGTGAGGGAGGTGCAAACAAGGGCAGTGAGTTCTGACGAGGGGTTGAGGAAGATTTTCGAGTGAGGTGCGAGCTTACCGGAGGCGGCGAGTGGCGGAGAAGGGACAACGATGGCTGGGGGAAAAGCGGTGAGGTGGCTAGGTGGTGGTTGTGCGGTGGGGGTAGGGTAGAAGGGTGGTGGCTGGTGTAGGCATGGTGGTGTAATGTTGGCTAAGGAAAGGGAATGGAAAAGGCTAGGGGGGTGGGGAATGAACATAGAGGGATTTGGGGGAATGAAGGGGGTAAAGGGGAATGGAAAAGTGGCCTAACAAACGACAACAAAGGGAACGATTCCCGTTGATTCCCATTCCCTTTGTTGAATACCCCCAACCAAACGACCCCTTAATACTAGCAGAATAAAAAAACACGCATGATATTTTTTTATCCTTTGGTAATTGGGCTCCATACTTATGAGGCCCTCAAAATCCGGGGGCCCTGTGCTGAGGACCAGAATGCACAGGACCTTAGTCGGCCCTGTCACACAATCTAATGTCAAAACATTCGATTCGAGACTCTCGGGAATGACACTCTAGATTAGCCTATCATAGGAGTGATTCATTAACCTAGCAAGTACCTATTGTTTGGGTGCTAAAATGGTCATACCCATTTTAGCCAAGGTGATCTTACCTCTATAAGCCCAAAGGGCATAAAAGGCCTAAAAGGCCCCAAATAAACCAAATGCTTTTATACGCCCCATAATTGCCCATATATATATACTACTAGGGTTCATAATACCCACTCATGTACTACTATTAATGAGATATATCAGAATATCATATAATATATATTTTTGGTTAAAGGTTTTTCCCACCGGTGGGTTTAATTTTCTAACCCATCGGCTGGGGGGAAATTTTTGTAAACGTCCCCAAGATCTAAACTACTCTTGATACCATGAAAAATTCTTATGATCACATTCCTCTTTTCTCATTAACTTGCAAAAGAATATATAGTGGTACAAACTTCCTAACCAGATAGAAATTTGACTAAAATACAAGATAATAGCTCCTAACAAATAATTCGTAAGATAATTCCCAAAAATATATTATATGATATTCCGATATTATCTCATTAACTATAAATAACCCTCAAGGGGCCAAAGGTAAAAGGAGGTCATTCTTACACTAAGATGACCATCCTCCTCCAGTCTCTCTCCCCCAAAATCCTCTCAAAATATGCATTGTTTAACACTAACTCCCCAAAGCTCGGGGTCTATTTTTGCAGGTCCATTTAAAGCCCAAATTTGAGGCCCACGAGCAGCCCATCAAGGCCTGAGTAGTCAATTTTTTTTTGCCAAAACACCTATAATGGCTAGGGGTGTTCAGATTCGGGTACCCGGATATTCGGGTATCCGAAAATCCGGGTACCCGGATCTTCGGGTAGTTGATAAGTTGGCCCTTGTCCCGTCTCGGGTTTCATTTTTAATTTTTTTTTTTAAATAAGTTTGTACCTAAAACCCGGTGTCGTTGGTTGTTTTAATTCGGGTACCCGGTAATCGTTTAGCCTAGGTGTGGAAATTTTTGCAGCAATTAGACAAGTATTTACCAGCATCAGCAGGCATAACTTTTAGCAGGATTTTTTTCGGTTTTATCTTGAATAATTAATCCTATGATGCAACATGGTTTTCTGTTATACTGCTGATCTTCTCTGCATAAACTCATATTATTATTTCTGCTATACAGTGCAAGTTAATTGAGGAACTCGGGCAGCTAGCTTCAGACGTATTTTGTTTCGAAACAAATTAATAATTTCTATAATCAATCACTTCGGAGCTTAGCCTACCTTTTTGTTAATATCTTCATTGTTTCTTGAAGCTCTAGTATTCCTCTGACTGCGTGGAGTAACAAACAGTGTGGAGTTATTCCACTGGTTAGGGAGTACCAATGTTTTTTTTTTTTTTTTTTTTTAACAGGTATCGGGTACCCGAGATTAGCAAAGTTTGTCTCATGTCCCGGCCTACAAAACTGCTATTTTAGTGAGACAGGTACCCGACCCGAAAAAAACAGAAAATTTAGTCAATTTTCCATCGGATTTTTTGCGGATTATCGGATAATCGGGTCGGGTTTTTTTTAACACCCCTAATAATGGCTATAATCTATTATGTCTAGTAAAGACTAACAACAACAGAAGTTTGCTATTTTCTGAAAACCTTGAATCAAACAGAGCAAAAACAGAAGAGAATCCCAGAAACAACGAAAATGAAGATGACATGGAAAAAGAAGAGTGGGAGCAAGCGGTTAGCCATACCTAACCTTCCTTTTGAAAACGATGAAGAAGATGATCAACTTAAACAAGCAAACTCTCCTCCTTCTTCACTCAATCCCCAAATTCCCAACAAAACCCTTGATTCTTCTCTTGCCGGTGCTTTCCATGAACAAGGAAACAAGCTTGCTGAGGTAATTTCTTCTTTAGTTTTTTAATCTTTTGCTTGTTTGGGTTTCTGCAATTTAATGATTATTGTAATTTTGAAATTTTGCAAATTTTTAGTTTGTGTTATCGTTGATTTTTTTTTTTCCTCCTATTTTTGGGCAGTTGGGTCTGTGATTGTTAGGATTTTTTTTTGAAGTTCAACCTATTTGTTATTTTTTTTTTCTCTAAAATTTTAATATTGTTTTATCTTATTAGAAAGATTGTTTCTTTTGTTTACTTCGGTTGATAGGGTTTTTGGGTCAATTTGTTATTATAGTTTAATGAAGTAGTTGAATTCAGATAGTATAACCCTTTTTAAGATGGTTGTATTAGAGATAATATGATGTTTTACCATTGCTGAGAATCATAATTGAATGTGGACATTATATTTTAATAATTCAAATGTTGGCCCTATTACTAAAAATGATCTGAGTTAGCATAGTATAGAGGCATCTTGAAGTTTGCAAGAAAAATAGAGTAAAATTTGCCTTCTATCACAAATAGTGTTGATACTAAGTCTCCCCCATGTATACCGTATAGACGAGCTTGTTGGAGCAGATACGGTATTCTCTGCGACCCAGAATGGCTTCTTTTATGATCTTTAGCCACATGAACATGCTTGATTGATTAATATGGAACCTTAATATAGCGAAAATGCTTTACAATAACCCCTCCTAGTCTTAATCAAGGAGCTTGATTGGTCATTGCTAACCAATCTAATCCAAGTTAATTTTTGTGAATCCTTGCTAGTCCCAACAACTGGTCTCCCATAGTTTCTTCAATCCAAGGACATCTTCTTGAGATGTGATTGGTTTGAAAATGATGTACGTCTTTCCTGATAAGGGGCGTAAACCTAAAAATCCACTAGAGAAGGTTTCTTCTTGCTTTAAACTCCACTTTTGGGAGAGTTCCCTGAATGTCAAGATTGGTTTTTATGGGCCAAGACATAAACTTATTCTAAAAGTGTCTTTATAATATTGAGGATTTCATATCATCCTCATACATCAAATTTCCGCACCACATCTATGAAGTATATTCTTCATCTCATCCTTATATTTTTCCTCATGGACTTCAACTTAAAAGTGGGTAATTCATGGATTAATCTTTGCCTGTTTTGAAATCTTCGTGTTTTTGAAATCATCCTTATATTTTTTGCCCATTTTGAAATCATCCTTGTATTTTTTGCTCCTATCACAGGAGATCTTTGTGTTTTCATTCTCTGGGATCCATGATCTCCAAGGACTTGCTATAGACAGTATTTTAATTGGTTATGCTTACATAATACACATATTGGTCATGATTTTCTTGTTGTCATTAGATTACATGTGAATATATGATTGTATTGCAGCATGTTCTAATGTGAAGTAAAGAGTGCTACATATGAAATAACTGAACTGAGAGATATACCCTCAACCTAATTTAGATTCTGGCTCAAATGGGCCTTAAACTCTGCCTAATCTAGGTGTAGCTAGTTAACTTGGTCTTGTGTTAGGTCATTCAGTAAATAGCATTGTGAAGGAGAGCGTTATGATTCATGGGATGTTGAAAATGACTCATATGTGGCTCCAGAGGCCGTGGAAGGTTGTCAAAATCAAACTGCCATGACTTTAGGAACTAGTAAGCATATATAAGGGGGCGTTGGAACACATATTAAGGGGAGGTTTAGACTTTAGACATCCACTTGCTTGAGTAGTAAAAGGGTGCCTGGCTTGGAGAGGGAATAGATGAAGAGAGATGGGCTTAGAAGTGTGGTTATCATTCTATCCTTAACTAACATCTTAGAAGGGCCACTTCTAAGATGATCCCTAGGGCCTAGGCTAGGCCCAATCTATATTAGATGAGCTAGAAGGGCCACTTCTTGTCTGTGTTTTTTCTTTTGAAGAATATTGGAGCTCCTGTGTGGCATGGTGGGATATTGACTAGCAACCAACCATGTACTTGTTATTTTCAAATTTTTTAAAAGTACATGGGTTTTTGAACTGTACAGAGTTTCATTTGGCTATTCAATAAATCTCTTATAACGTGTAACTTTATTCAACGGAAACATATGTGCAAATTTGCTCTTATTTCTCTTTTGCATGAAAGGTGAAGAGCTATAAAGAAAAACTGAACTGTAATGGATTTTGTTAAAACTATCCTCAAGCTGATTGCATTTTTTTGTGCTACAGAAGTCCACACTTCATTTTAGATTTTGTTCTTGCTCCTGTGGGATTGGCAAGCAAGCTTGTCTTGACTTCACTAATAGATGTAATTCATCTTGAATTTTGTTTTTAAACTGAAATTATGAATTTGTGACTAGTTTCATATCTGTCTTACATAATTGCTCTCTCAGTTTGCAAGCCAAATGCTTTATATAATTGTTTCCTAATGGAACTCTTAAGTGATGTCCTGCATGTAGAGCAAGCAAATGTTGGTTTAGTTGTCATTAGCATTTGCACATTTTAACTTTTTTTGCAGTGAACATCTGAGTCCTTTGTTATCTATGCTGTTTATGGCTTATCTATACACTGCTGTCTGTGTTTCTCTTAGTCTGGTATAAGTTAATAGCTATTCCAGCATGTTTGTTTTTGCAATAAATGTTTTTGTAGTTGTCCTCTTGCCCCAAAAATTGGTGTTTAGTATGCTGTTGATAAAATTATTTAAAGTTGGAATCTTATGCTGCCTTCCCCGCCCTTAATTTCAAGGATGGTAAATACCGCGAAGCACTTGGAAAGTGGGAGGCTGCTATTACTTTGATGCCCGAAAAGGCTGTTTTGCACGAACAGAAGGCTCAAGTATTACTTGAAGTTGGAGATTCCTGGGGTGCTTTGAAAGCAGCAACTCGTGCGCTACACTCTCCTTTGTCTGTTTTCTTTTGTACTTTAGGTGTTAGATTACATAAACTGTGTCAAAATGCTTTTGCATGCTTATTTTTTCAGTTCCTCATTTATGCCTTTTCTCTTATAAGTTCATATGTATACAAGTGTTGCTTATGTAATTGCTCTGCTGTTCATTGTTGGCATGTCTGCTTTCTACTTCTCAATAGAATCCATTCATGCTTGATTGTGTATTTTACCTGTGAGCTTCTTGTGTATGTATTATGTGATAATAATAATAATATTGCTTATAACATCAAAGGCTGATTTGACTTCACTTTTTTGATTTGTTTTGCAGGAGCCACTGAATTGGACCCATCATGGGCTGAGGTAGTTGATCTTATTTCGTTCTCCTTACACCCCAATACCCCTTCATTTTGCTTCAAAAGTTGTGACACAAACAATTTATTATGCAGTAATGGATTGATTAAACAGTTCCCCGCTTAGCTACAAATTTTATGCTGCCAACAGCAGTTGGCTTTATAATAATTAGATACTGCAGGAATTTTATAATTCCATATCCATTTTTCTGGCCTCTGGCTCTAATTACGAGGCATTCTGATAATGTTTTGAGATTTGTCTTTCAGGCTTGGACGACCCTTGGTAGAGCACAGCTGAATTTTGGGGAGCCTGATAGTGCAATTGAAACCTTTGACAATGCTTTGGCCCTTAAGGTTAGATTTTCTTTATTTCTTACATGGCTGCTTACCTGCATATCAATAATCAAGTACAGTATGGTATAACAAGATTGAGTTTCCTTAGTTTTTCCATTAACTAATTTAATGATGTGAGCAGCCTGAATTAGCTGAGGCACAAGAGGATAGACAAACTGCTTTACAGCTTGTGAAGAAGAGAAAGCACCTTCACTCATCAGGTCTAAGCACGGATAAATCTCGTTATGCAGTTGGTGATGGAGGTGAAGCCAAGCTCCCTGGTTCGGCCTGAATGTACTGGTTGTATACTCCACAACAAAATCCTAATATAGCAAGGTAATGCAAATTAGAGCAGCTGCTTCATTCCTGAGATACCCCAGCTTGTTTGACTGCAGTAGTAGAGTATTTTGGGTGTACATAACCAGTTATCGAGTATAGTTGTAATAGACAGATTAAGGGGCATACCTATCTGTCAAATGTTCATCTGATATTATATAACTGAAATCAAACATTCTGATGCATGTTTCTGTAGGTAACATCACCTGTATACTGTGTTGTTCGTATGTTATTTCTTTACTCGTATATGAGTCCATTTTCCACGCAGAAAAAATGATGGACGTTTATGGTCAGGAAACAGAAGTTACAACTTGAACCCTAAATGTATTAGCAATATTATTCATCGACTCATCCTCATGTATGATGTGTCTAAAAGTATAATGCGAAAATGATTTCTTTAAAAGGATATTTTTTGGGCTAAACGAATTATTTCTTTATTAGACTCAAAGCCCGAGATGATCCATGAGTAATAGCACGGTGAGTCACTTGGGGGCGCAAAAGCCTGGGGAGGGTGGGGGATTTGTTCTTGAAAGGGAAACCATCACAGCAGCAACACACCTTGAGTCACATGGTGGTTTAGAGCCTCTATGGAATGAAGAAGGGGGAGGCAAGTGCAACTGATATACATTATACATGTATATAGTGGCTGGCCTACTATCACTATGACTTTATGCTACGGACTATCCGGAGTAGTTTTAACATAATAAAGACGTGGCCAGTGCCGTCTTAGACATTTTTGGGGCCCGGAGCAGAAACTACTAAAGGAGCCCTAAACAGTCGAGTCGTATTTCATAAATAAGGACAAAGCTATATCTACTCACTGGATAAACTACTCATTACTAATACATGATTGAAATACGAACTTAAGTATCATTAACCTTGCTAATTTGTATTCGACTATTACTACTCTATTAGAATTGGGTTAGTTTATCCAGTGGGTAGACAAAGAATTTTCCCATAAAAATACATAGCATGAATTTTATACTTTGTATTAAAATGTCCAGCAAAATTACTAATAACATGAATGCAAGATAGTCACTTAGATTGTGCAAAATTACTAATTTTAGCTTTGGTTTTGTTTTTATATACTTCCTTCGTTTTATAATGTTAATCCCATATATTATTTTGGGCGTTTCAAAAAGATAGATCCATGTTGATTATGTTCCATTTTTAACTTAATTTTTTTTGGAAAAAATTGGTTGTGGATTGATGACATGACTTCAAGTAAGGAAATCTCTACCTTGAATTATGCAATTATGACTGATGCTTTCCCAAAAAAATCAAAAAACTTAAATAAGGTAAACTAATTATGAATTATTTTGTACTTTAATATTAGATTCCAAATATTTTCTTTTCTTATTTTATGTGATTGATTTCATATAGGACTAACATTATGAAACGAAAAGAGTATTTTTTTTTTTTAAATAAAAAAAATCTGATGTGGGCACCTCTAAATGAGGCCCCGAGCCATTGCTCAACCTGCTCCCCCTATGGCCTATGAGCTGGTCTTGGACGTGGCTAGTGTATATGTAGGAGATCATAGTGTATAATGAGCTTCTTTCCCAAAACATAGGGTATAATGAGAGCAAGGGATAACTCAAGTAGTAAGAGCTTCTTTCTCAATTCTAAGAAATTTAAGGATTGATTCTCAGCACCCTACTTTGTGGCTCTCTAACCCCCAAAAAAAAGAACTCTTGTCAAATGCACTGTGACGAAGGAAATGTTCGTTATTGAGTACTGTGTAATCTTCAAAGGTTTCCAGAACAAGAAATACACGTTGTGTTTTAGACTATTTCAACGACATATTCGATATGTTGCATCGGCTACATCAAATAGACGTAGTTGAAAAACATTCTTAATCCCTGCTCTTAATATGGAGACAACTCGGACGAAGATTAGTCTATGTTTTGGAACATTATTAGACTTATTGAATGCTTCCAGGAATATTGCTAAGTACAACGTCAGTTTCTCCCATAAAAATAGTATTCATTCAATAATTAGGGATTTCCACATTTAGCGATTACCATGCACCAACCAGTTAATCGTCTATATACTAAGTACTTAATACAGTATGTTATTAATTAATTAAAAGTCATGATTTTATCAAGCATAATCATTCTCTTAAAGATACAATTATAAAAGATATCTCACATAATCAACCAACTTGTTGCCGTCAAAGATTACGAAGGGACCCACAAAAATATCATATTAATATATTAAAATAATAGGGAATATTAATGTACTTCATACAATATTACGAGTACTCTTTTATTCTAGTACCTTTTAAGGAAAAAATCAGCATAAAACGAGTAGTAGTATGTGATTTGCTTATGATTTTTATTATTTTTCTAATGAGCCACAACGACAAAATAAATTATAATCGGAGAAAGCGATTTGAATTTGTGGTCTATTGTATATAGACAACTTTTTTTATTAAGGTTTGCTTACACAAACACAGTAGTGACGCAATTTTTTTTTAAGAAGCTTTCTTTCCTAATTTAAGTGTTACACGTGTTAAGTTTTGTTTCTTCAATTACAGCCGTACCACTTTCCCTCTTTCTTCTTAATTTTCTTCAATCTCTCACTGATACAAAATTAGAAATTAAACCATTAACATTAACCATTAACATTAGGGAAATCATTTATTAGAGTAATGAACAAAAGTTGCTCACTTGTTCCTCCCAATAAGAACGTAGTCTAGCTTAAAAGCTTATTATTCATTAAACCAATCAAGAAAACTCGACTTAAATACATTAAATTAGAAAAGTGTATTAATTAAAAAGGCAGATGCAAATTCTCATTGCATCATTTAGAATTCGACATCAAAGTGTAAGAAAACATAGCCTCATCATGAAAAGACATTAACTTAACAATATGATTAGTGGAACATGTAACAACATACAGTAGCTTTTTTGAACAAATAACAACACACAGTAGCTAGTTACTACAAAAGTCATATATTATGGCCACGAAATAATTAAGTAGATTGCTAAATACCGCCAACAAAATTTATCAAACCGCCAATATTTCAAGTAAAGGGACTACATTGCCCTTACTAAAATCTTCCCCATTTTCTTTCTCTAACTTTATTCCATGATTTCCATCCACCACTTCTAAAACAACCACATCAACCACCACCAATCACACCACCGGTACCACCCACGCCACCATGTCGACCACTACAACCCACAATCACCACGTCACCACCACCATCTACACCAGACTGCCAATAATAATAACAGTTAATCATAATAATAATAATAAAATTAATTATACGGATTTTTCACCAAATACCACTGAGTTATTGCAAAATTCACCGTATACCACACAAAATTTTCTAATTCACCATATAGCACTGAGTTTATGTACATTAACACAGAATGCCATTTTTTCTAACTGTCGTTAACGCCGTTAGTAATTAAGGTTAATTGTGCCACGTGGCAGCTTGTAATTGGTTCTTATTAATATTATTTAATTACTTAAATAAAAAATTAAAAAAAAAAAAAAACACCTTATCTCTCTCCTCTGACCGAACACCCAGACCACCACCAATGCCCAAACCCAACTACTCAAAGGCGTGGCAGCCCAGCCACCACCCTGTCTCGATAACCCCCGCCGGCGCGGAATCAAACCAGAACCCCGGCGCCGGTGCGAAAACCATCCAGAACCCCTGCGCCGATTGGAATCCGACCAAAACCTTGAACCACCGTTCCCGAACCCCTGCGCTCCTCCCCTTCCCTTGAACCACCGTTCCCGAACCCTAAAAACCCATATCTCCCTCGATAAACCCTCCCCTAATCACCGGCCAGTGCCCAAACCCCTGTCCCCCGTGTCGGCGAACTCAAATTCCCCTCTCCCAGTCACTGCCGCCCAGTTTAATTGAAAATAACCACCCCAAAACCCTAAAACCCCAAAATCAAAACCCTAGATTTTGGTTTTAGGGTTTCGAGGTGGTGATTCAGGGGAGGAGGAGGGTGGAGGTGGCAAGGGTAAGGCCGAATTAGGTTTGCCGGCATTTGGTGGGGGTTTGGACGGCCGACGGGTTGGGAGGGAGGCTTTTCGAGGGAGGGATGGGGATTTTGATTGAGATGATGGTGATTTTGGGAAAGAGGAAGACGCCGACGGGAGGTTCCAGGTTAGGGTGGCACCGGCGCGGGGTTTAGGGCTGGAAGTGCCGGCGTGGGGAGGCCGGGGGTTGGGGGCATGGTGGGTGGCTGGGTTGCGGTGTGGTGGTTTGTTTTTTTTTTTTTTTTTTTATTTAAGTAATTAAATAATATTAATAAGAACCAATTACAAGCTGCCATGTGGCACAATTAACCTTAATTACTAATGGCGTTAACGGCAGTTAGAAAAAATGGCATTCTGTGTTAATGTACATAAACTTAGTGCTATATGGTGAATCAGAAAATTTTGTGTGGTATATGGTGAATTTTGCAATAACTCAGTGGTATTTGGTGAAAAATCCGTTAATTATAATTATTATGTAATAATAATAACAATTAATTAGAATAAGTTTTTTAAAAAAAAAAGCTGCTGGCCGTTAAATGACGCTCAAAACCGATTGGTCGCCACCGGTAATTGGCGGTCGAAACCGATTGACCAGTGCGGTCAACCGATTTTGACCGTTAGTTACCTGTGGCGATCAACCAGTTTTGAGCGTCGATTACCAGCCACTGGGATTTAAAACAAAAACTTAAATTTAAAACTAAAAGCTAAACGGTAAACTTACCTCCTTCTTCGGATTTCCAGCCATGTCGTCGCCGTCAACGACCCGACGTCTGTTCGCGCCGCCACCTCCTGAATGTCGCCGCCTGGTACGCCGGTTGCCTCTGTTGTGGTGGTGGTGGTGGTTGTGTTTGGGGATCTTGGGGGGTGGTTGATGAGAGAGAAAAAAGAAAGAGAAAGATGGGTTTGGGTTTAGTATTTTAGTAAGGGCAATAATGACATTTCACTTGAAATGTTGGCGGTTTTGATAATTTTTATTGGCGGTATTTAACATAATTAATAATTAGATTACCATTTATATGGTATTAAATAAAGTAAATAAAGATATGAAGTACATAATTACTGGATAAATTATTGCTCGTTGTCTAATAATATATTTGTATATCCCACACAACCAACAATAAAAACTATTGAAGACATGCGAAAATAAATACATAATCTAATATTAGTACTACATATTAATGTACGGAGTATTATAAATAAAGATGAAACCTTTTATAATATATGGTTATCTTAAGATA